CACTATGAATCAAGGCATCAATTCTTTTTTAGTCTTATTCGTTATCCAACTTTTACATGTATAGGAGGCAGATGAAGCTATCATAGCTGGAATCAGGCAAACCTTAGTGCTCAAAGTGACATCCTATCTCTTTAGTACTTTTTTTCCCTCTTTAGCACTTTTATGAAGACCTTTGCAGCAGATTTGCCAAGAGCAACATATCTTTTCATTTCTTGAATGGGCATTGATTGTGGATCCAAGTTCAATGCAATCATTGAGGACATCAAATATTTCTCCATTTATCATGATGTTGGTTGTCGATCCAGTAGGGAATATTTTTGTTTTCTTTATGCTGTGGCTATTATGGTCAAGTTTCTTCCCTAAATCTTTAATGTTTTCAACAAGCTAGTTTTGGCATCTGAAACCACAGGCTATTATGATCAAGTTAGATGGATTGACACAGTGGCTGCAGTGATGGCTGCCAAGCGGCAATTGTGAGGAACATGCAGGGCTAAACAGTATTTCCCTCTGTTTATCGGGTTGCTATGAGTGGGGCCTACTTAAGGGCATGAAAAAATGGTGGGGAAGGAACTGTCATGTTGGTTGAAGACCTGTCTTAAAGTTGCATTCTTTCAAAAAATTGTAATTTAAAAGCTAATATTGTGGGATACTTAGGTGTGTCTTAAAGACGACTATTAAAGATAAGGGAGAAGTAAATCCCTGCTAACACCACCCTAAAGAGAACCCCAGTAGCTTAGTAAATCACATGTTGAAGTGCTCCCAGAAGAGCAGTACTTGGAAATCATCATCCACTCTTAGAGAGAAAGACAAGCTGCCACCTATTGTAAAGATTTACTGCTTTGGAAGCCCAGTGGAGAGTGACTGTGAGTCATGGTCCACTCTGCAGTGGTGGGTGTTGTTATTATTAGCCTCATTTTTTAAGAAATTAGTCCATTTTTAAGAAATGAAGAAATTGAGTTCAAGGAAAGTTGTTTAACCTGCACAAAGTAAAGTAATTTGTATGTGACACAGCTAGAACTTGACTGCAAGTTTCATGTTTGTTTTGAGATGCTGGTTAACCAGCCTACTCTGTATTATGAAATTAATAGGAAGAATTTCACTGCATCATTTTGCTCTCAATTAACAAGTACTCTGAGATTTTGCTAAGTGGTAATTTTCTCATGCAATATTGCCAAATCAAAATCTGCTTTTAACATCTCATTGTCTTTGTTCCCTCCATTTTTTTCTTTCAAGTGTTCAGCAATCTCCACTTTAAACTACATTTCATCTTACCAGTGCACAAACTCCATCTAGTGGAACAAGAATATATCTGAAAGTTTATAGTTACTCAGTGTGCTAAAAATAAACAGGTCAATGTCTATAATATGCACCCCCCCCCCCACTGGAGCTGTTTTTACTGTGTCATGTAGGATTGCGGTGAATTGAAAACGAAGGGCTAACAGGTAGCAAGAACAGCAATATATTTTATATCTAAAAAGAAATTTCACAGAAAATTAGTGTTCAAATGTTTCAGACAACACAATATAGAAAGTTCATTAATTTTTTAAAAAGGAAGATTGAAAAAAATTTAGTAGCAATGATAAGGGAGAATAGTGAAATAAGTAATTGAATTTGTGTACCTTGAACAACTTTTTAATTCAAGGCCAGTATTCTTAAATTACATAATTATTCTGTTATACTCAACATGATAATTGCAAAGGTATTATTGCTGGTGTGAAGAAAATGCTCATTATGTAGATGAAAGACATCACGTTTAACATCGTATACCCTCTTTGGCCTTAAAGCTAAGAATTAAATTTGAAAAAGTAGTCACTTAAAATTAATCCTATTTACAAGAGAATTCAGTTATTCATTTTACAGCAAAAGTTAATACATAAAACCCAAGGATATAAAGTGGCAAATAGCTATAGGGGCCAACTATTGGTTTTGTTAGTAAATAAAATGTTATCAAAGCTTATGCTAATAAAATGTTTTCTTCTGAGGAAATGATCAGAGACTTACTATTTTTAAGGAGTAATACTAGTGTGGTATAGAGATTCAGAACTCCCAAAAGGTTTATAGAAAATGAAAATGGGGTTCAGTTCTCCTTTCTTGTAGTTTCATGACGGAAGAACTGTCACAATGTATTTCTACACTGGTTAATAAGTAAATGAACCTGAGTAAAACAAAGGAGGAAATACTTCATTATCATGTTAATATAAGTTGAAAGTTGGGTCCTGGTATTGCCTTATAACCATCCTGTGACTGTCACTCAAGAAGCTATAATCAGGGTGCTGTAATCGTGAGTTGACTCAAGTTACCTTCTATCTGGATAATCAAATCCTGTAACCTATTTAAACTTGTAGTTATATATATATCTTAATTATGTTCTCTTTCCTCTGTTAATCTCATCTTTGTCAATGATGTTTTAATGAATAAACCAATCATAAATTTTTTCAGCTTTAGTTCCTTAACAGTGTATTTTATTAGTTACTCTGTGATTTTTGGAATGCGAAAGTTAAAAATAGTACAGTCTTCTCTTTGAAAAGTAAAGGACAAATTCTTACACTGTTTTACAGTCCCTTCCCCAGGTCCACTCCACTATGCAGCCTTCGTTCTGGACTCCTGTCATGACAATAATACCAAATCACATAACCCTTTTAAACAGTTTTCTCCCTCATCTGTTTCAATGCAATATACATTATTTATCTCCATTTTTCTCAGTTTCTCCCCAACCCTGATGTCAGTCCTGTTTTATAACAGTGGCACTATGCAGTATTTGTCCTTTTGTGACTGAGATACTTCACTCAGCATAATGTACTCCAGGGTCACCCATTTTGTATAATATTTCATGAGTTATTTGTTTTTCAATGCAATGTGGTATTCCATTGTGTGAATATACCACAGCTTCTCTATCCATTTGTTTGTTGATGGGTACCTGGGTGTTTCCAACTCTTTGCTATTGTGAACAAAGCTGTGATAAACATGGATATGCATATATCTGCTGGGGTGGCAGTTATGATCTCTTTGGGGTATATTCCCAGTAGTGGAATTGCTGGGTCAAATGGTATCTCTATTTGCAACTTTTTGAGAAAGCGAGACACTGCTTTCCACAGTGATCGCACCATTTTACACTCCCACTAACAGGTGAGTAAGGGTTCCAATTTCTCCACAACCTCGCCAGCATTTGTTGCTTGCTGTTCTGTTAAATTTTGCTGTTCTTACTGGGATGAAATGATATAGTTGTTTTAATTTGCATCTCTCTTAGAGCTAGGAATTTTGAACATTTCTTCATGTGCTTGTTGGCCATCTGAATGACAATCTTTGGTGACGTGTCTGTTCATATCTTGTGGCCATTTTTCAGTTGGATTGTTTATCTTGTGGTGGTGCTCAAGTATTTTATAAATTCTGGATATAAGTCCTTTATCTGACATGTCATTACTAAAAAGGAACATGACTTCTAATACAAAAAGGTACGTGTCTTAGAATTAGGTTATGGAATCATTTTGTTGATTATATAAAGGCATTTGTCTGTTTGGATCATAACAGACAGTGGCTAACTCTGAAAAGAATGGGAACTCCGGAACAGTTGGTTGTGTTTATGTGAAACCAATACTTGGACTAGGAAACATTTGTCAGAACAGACCAAAGATAACACTCCATTGTTCAAAATCAGGAAAGACGTATGCCATGGATGCATTGCATCTCCATACCTTTTCAATCTATATGCATAATAGATCATCAGGAGCCTGGGCTCTATGAGGAGGAATGGAACTTCAGGATTGGAGAAAACTCATCAACAAGCAGATGAGACAACCTTTCTTGCTGAAACTGAGGAAGACCTGAGGCATTTGCTGCAGAAGGTCAAGAACTACAGCCTTCAAAAGGGATTGAAGCTCAACATCAAGAAAACAGATTCTCACTGGGCCAGTTGGCAACACCATGATAGCTGGTAAAGAGATTGAAATTTTTAACACATTCAGCTTGCTTGGCTGCACAATCAACACTCATGGTACCAGCAGCCAGGAGATTAAAAGATGAATTGCATTGGGAAACCCTGCTGTTAGGGACATCTCCAGAGTACTGAATAGCAATGATATAAGTCTAGAGACCAAGGTGTGCCTGATCCAGGCTGTGGTCTTTGGAATTACATGCTATGCATCAGAAAACTGGACAATGAGTAGGGTTGTTAGTAGGAGAATTGATGCCTTGGAGCTTGACGAGTATTAAATATATCATGGACTGCTAGGACAACAAACAGATTAGTTCTGGAGAGAGTGAAGCAGACTGCTTCTTGGAGGCAAGGATTTGGAAGCTCTGTCTGACATACTTTGGGCATGTTGAAAGGAGGGACCAGTCCTTGGAGAGGGACATCATGCTTGGGAGGAGAGAGGAACATAACAAGAAAGGAAGACCCTGGATGAGATGGATTAACTCAGTGACTGGAGTAATGGTGTGTCAGAGATAATGAGGTTGGGTCAGGACAGAGCAGGGTTCAGGGCTGTTGTCCATAGGGTCACCATGAGTGGCAAGCTATATATAGCACATAACATAGACAGTAACTATGAAATATGCTATGAGTAGATAAATTAAAACATTTATATAACTATAATGAACTTTTACAAAGAATTTAAGATCTATTACTAATTTTGCAAATGTCCAATTTTCTTTTTAAATTTGTATGTTAGTGTGGGAAACACTTGGGAAGCATTCTTGGGTTTGTATGCATTTTAAAAAGGAGCTCTGGTGGTTCAGTGAATGTGCTCAGCTGCTAACTGGAACAGCAGTGGTTCAAACCTCCTAGCCACTCTGTGAGAGAAAGCTATGGATGTCTGTGTCTATGAGATTTTTAGCCTTGGAAACCAGATGGGCAGTTCTACTCTGACTTGTAGTGCTTTTTAAAGTCTGAATCCACTTCACAGCAATGTTTTTGTTTTTTATTTAACTATCTCAAATAAACAGAGAATGTTTCTTTTACACTAAATGACCTTTTTCTTTCTTCTGTTTCCTTCCTCTTCTAGGCGACTGACTGGACATTCTTTCCACATGGGCTACAGCATGGCAATTTTGAATGGCATTGTAGCTGCTCTTACTGTAGCCTGGTGCCTCATGTAAACTCACACTGGAACAACATTGTTGGCAAAACTGTCATAATTGTTTTGTAACAGAGAAGATCATCAGTGACTACAAAAAGAACTGATAAACTAGCTGTTCATTATCTAGTTTTATATGTGTCATAATTAGCCCCTTTTGTCGAGGACTTTTTAAAACTTGATTTGAGATCATAGGCATTGGAGGTATCTGAGTATTAAGTTTGAAGTACTTCCCAAAAGTGTAAAATGTTTACTTCATCTTTTTACTTTTGTATGTCTAATTTTTACAAATTGTAGAAAAAGTAATGGAAATCAAACTTGAAAAATTGAATACCGAACAATGCCTACCTTTCCATGTATAGAATCCATTTTTGCTAAGAAATACTGATTTTGTTTAAATAAGATAGAAGCATTTTGTATTTATACATTTTATTGGGAAAGCAAATACTGCCTACTCATTTGACATTTTATAGTGGCTACTTTTAAATGAAAATATGTGGTTTTTTATATTTATGTATTCACTAGAAGGTGCAGTTATATTTTCTATGGGGCATGCATGTTTGGAGGGTATTTTTGTTTACATATTTTCCTAACATAAGCTGAATTTATATGTTTGTAAGATTGTTCCTTGTAGATGAATATGCTACTTTTTTACTGGTGCAAACTTAATACCCACTTTTTTAAAAGAAATAAGTTGTCTTTTTAAAAAAGCATGTTGTTCTGGGTTTAACATGAAGATAAACTTATTTCTAAGAAGAAAAGACTAAAAAATGTAATTTAAGTCATTCAGTTACTAACAGATTTGAAGCTGTTCACTATTTCTGTTTCTACAATTAAAAATATTTATCTTGGTGTACATATGATTGCTTCAACAGAATTTATATTACTTTGTTTTTAATAAATATAAATATGAAATTTGTATATACATAAATACTTTTATTAGTTTTTTGTTAATATTAAAAATATAGTTACCAAAGTAGAAAAGGTATTTTTGTATGCACACACACGTATATACATATATAAATATACATATGTACGTACATACATAAATACCACATTATTCATTCATTGCCATTGAGTCCGAAACTACTGATTGTGACCCGACAGTGGGTTTACATGGTTATAAATCACATGGGAATTGATTGCCCACCTTCACATCAAACCACTGGTGAATTCTACTCACCAGAGAAGTGTGGCCTTTGGGTGAATAGTGCAACTCCTTGCAGACTAGTCCATCAGTGCTCCATTTACCCATTATCTATATTTATACATACACACACAAGTGCATACAATATACATACAGACATACGTATGTATTTTTTATATATATACACACACACACACAAACAAATGTTGTTCTTTGCTGCTGTCTAACTCATGTTTTTGTTAGGTGCAGTCAAGTCAATTTAATTCCCAGAGATGCTATAAACAACAGATCTGAACCTTGTTCTATCATGTTGTTGTTGTTGTTATGTGCCATCGAGTCATTTCCGACTCATAGCGACCCTATGCACAACAGCCCTAAACCCTGCTCTATCCTGCACCAACCGCACTGCCTCTGACACACCCATCCCTATTACCTCAGTCACCGAATCAATCTTATAGAGGGTCTTCCCCTCCTGCGTTGTCCCTCAACCCTCCCAAGCATGATGTCCCTCTCCAAGGACCCATCCCTCCTGGCAACATGTCCAAAGTATGTCCGACGAAGCCCCAGAATCCTTGCCTCCAAGGAGTAGCTTGGTATAATCCTCTCCAAGACAAATCCGTTTGTTTTCCTGGCAGTCCATGGTACATTCAGTACCCTTCTCCAGCACCACAGCTCAAAAGCATCCACTCTCCTTCTGTCCTCCCTAGTCATTGTCCAACTCTCTGATGCATAACAAGCGATGCAAATACCATGGCCTGTATCAGGCGCACCTTAGTCTCCAGAGAGACACTGTTGCTCCTGAGTACTTTAGAGAGGTCCCTAACAGCAGACTTTCCCATCGCGATACGCTTTTTGATTTCCTGACTGCTGGTGCCAAGAGTGTTGACTGTGGAGCCGAGCAAACTGAAGCTGTGAACAATCTCAATCTCTTCGTCATCCATCCTGATGCTGCCAATTGGTCCAGTGGTGAGAATCTTTGTCTTCTTGACATTGAGCCTCAGTCCATACTGAAGGCTGCAGTCCTTGACCCTTCGCAGCAAGTGCATGAGGACCTCCTCAGTTTCAGCAAGCAGGGTTGTGTCATCTGCATAACGGAGATTGTTAATAGACCTTCCACCAATCCTGATGCCACAATTCTCCTCATAGAGCCCAGCCTCTCGGATAATCTGCTCTGCATACATGTTGAAAAGGTATGGAGACAGGATGCACCCCTTTTGTACACCCTTCCCAATTTTGAACCATGCAGTGTTACCCTGCTCTGTTCTGACTACTGCCTCTTGGTCCAAGTATAGGTTTCGTATTAGCACAATTAAATGTTCTGGGATTCCCATTCTTCTCAGAGTAAGCCACAGTTTGTTATGATCCACACAGTCAAATGCCTTTGCATAATCAATGAAACACAGATAGACATTCTTCTGGTATTCTCTGCTTTCAGAGATCTAACATCAACAATATCCCTAGTACCACGACCCCTTCTAAACTCAGCCTGGACTTCCAGCCAGTGAATACCACTATCATTCAGATATACGCACCAACAACCAGAGCCAAAGAAGAAGAAATAGACGATTTATACCAACCTTTACAGTCAGAGATAGATCAAACATGCAATCAAGATGCATTGATAATAATGGGTGACTGGAATGCAGAAGTTGGAAACAGTGAAGAAGAATCAGTAGTCGGAAAACATGGGCTTGGTGACAGGAATGAGGCTGGAGATAGAATGAATTTTGTAAAATCAACGACTTATTCATTGCAAATACATTTTATAAGAGACAACATTTCCCCCGAGCACCACAGCTCAAAGGCATCAATTCTCTTTCTATCATCCCTAGTTATTGCCCAGCTCTCTGATGCATAGCAATCAATTGTGAAGATTATGACCTGGATCAAGCACACCTTAGTCTCCAGACTGACATCGTTGCTCTTCAGTACTCTGGAGGTGTCCCTGAGAGCAGACTTCATCTCATGATTTCCTGGCTGCTGGTACCAAGAGTATTGACTGTGGACCCAAGCAAACTAAAGCTACTTACAATCTCTCCACCATCTATCATGATGCTGCCAATCTGCCCAGTAGTGAGAATCTTTGTTTTCTTGATGTTGAGCTTCAATCCATATTGAAGGCTACAGTCTTTGACTTTCTGCAGCAAGTGCAGGTCCTCCTTATTTTCAGCAAGCAGGGTATGTCATGTGCATAATGCAGGTTGTTGATGAGTCTTCCTCTAATCCTGATTTCTAGCCCACTTAGGTCATAATAAATCATGGCTAATGTTGAAAAGAACGGGAACCTCAGAACACTTGTGCCCATGTGAAACCTAGACCTAGACCAAGAAGCGTTTGTCAGAACAACAGAACAGGGAACATTGCATAGTTCAAAATCATGGAAAGTGTGCATTAGGGTTGTATCTTTTCTTCATACCATTTCAATTTGTATGCTGCAGAAATAATTTGATAAGATGGACTTTATGAAGAAGAATGTGGCATCAATATTGAAGGAAGACTCATCTACAATCTGTGTTATGCAGATGACACAATTTTGCTTGCTGAAAGTGAAGAGGACTTGAAATACTTGCTGAAGATAATAAAATATTACAGCCTTCAATATGGATTATGCCTCAATATCAATAAAATAAAGATTCTCACCACTGAACCAATAAGTCAAATCATGAAACATTGAGAAAAGATTGTCAGTTTCTTAATTTTATATGTATTCACAATCAATACCCATGGTAACAGCAGCCAAGAAATCAAAAAACACTTTGCATGGGAAAAATCTGTTGTCAAGGACCTCGCCAAAGTGCTAAAGGACAATGATATAAATTAAAAGACTAAGGTGTGTCTGATCCAAACTATGGTGTTTTCCGTTTCTTCCTATACATCTGAAACAATGAATGAATGAATAAGGATACAATGAATAAGCGAACAGTGAATAAGGAAAATAGAAGAAGAATTGAAGCATTTGAATTGTGGTGTTGGAGAAGAATACTGATTACCCCATGGATTGCCAGAACAACCCACTAGTTAGTTTTGAAGGACATACACCCAGGGTGATCCTCAGAGGCAAGGACAGTAAACTTCATTTCACATATTTTTGGACATGTCAGGAGGAAACAGTCCTTGTAAAAAAAAAATATCATGCTGGGAAAGGTAGGGGGTCAGAGAAAGAGAAGACCCTAACAAGATGGGTTGACATGGTGACTATAACAATGGGCTGGAGCATGTCAGAGATCATGAGGATTATATAGGACAGGGCAGGGTTCATATCCTATATTCATAGGGCCGCTATGAGTCAAAGTCAACTCAATGGTACCTAACAATAACAACAAACCCTTTGGGGTTGGCAGCACAAGTCTTTTCGCAGTAGGTCACCAGAGATTACTCAGCCTTGAAGTTGTTGTTATGTACCATCAAGTTGGAACAGACTCATAGCTGATCCTCCAGTGAATTGCAGGGGCAGTGAATCTCATAAGATTCATAAGATTGCCCATCTTTCACCCACAGAGTACCTTTGGTTTGGCAGTGCAGCTCCTTATCACTAAGCTAGTAGAGGTATTTGATTAACTCTCAGCAAGTGCATGCGACAGAGTAGAAGTACATAAAAAAGTTTTCTAGGCTGTGATCTCCGTGGCTGCAGACTGCCAAGTCTTTCTCCCACAGAAAAGCACCAATTTTTCTGAGCAGCCAAGCACTTAATCTTTGCTCCATCAAAGCACCAAATAAGAGATCGTTGCTGTTAAGGACCATTGAATCGGAACCAACTCATAGCTGACCCTCTAGTGGGTTTTCAGAGAGAGTGAATTGCATGAAAAGAGATTGCCCATCTTTCTTTTGTGAAGTAGCTGTGAATTTGAGCCACATGCCTTTGGGTTGACAGCACA